GATTAAGTAAGGAAAGGATAAAAAAGGTCTCAGGTTATTGCGTTTGGTCAAAGGTTTGGCATTTGATGCTCAAAGGTTTGATGGGGTAGTTTGCATGCTCCTCTACTAGAAGTGTTCTCCGACTCCCAGCTTTCACGGTCACATTTGGATTGTGCGATGCCTTATCAAGGAATTTGTGTGATCGCCTCAGTTGCACAATTTTTATATTCGAGTCGCCTTTTCAGGTTTTCAACTCGAATCCTCCTTTGGTTTCAAGACGTTATTCAAGATTTACATTTTGAACCCCCCTTTGTTATTTTTCTCTACCATGCATTAATTACATTGTTTTTTGCAAACAAAGATTAATCCTGATGGGCGGGATGAAATCTGAAGATAGTCTCTTCTGTTTAGAAATCCATGTATGATTAGAAGGGACTTTTAAGGCCCGTAATGTAGGTCAGGGTTCATGGTTATGAAAGAAAATGATAAATAGGCCCAAACAAGTGTTTCAGGGTGTTGAACCAAGGATCAATTCATTCTGATGCCTTCAATCATGTCCTGCTCAAAATGTCTCTATCTTGATGCTCTATGATCTTCGAGTGAAGTGATTCAGTGATTCGGAATGTTTGTGCTTGATCAATCTCATAATTTGAAGCTTGATGCGCCATTTGTCTTTAGGGAATCTTTGCATGTGCTTTTTTGTCCCTTTTTCTTTTTCTTTTGTTCTTTCTTTTTTGTTTTCTTCTTTTTTGCTTCTTTTCTTTTTTTGGTTTTTGCCCTATTTGTTCTAATTGAATCTTCGCACTTGGCATTTGGTTCACCTTTTGGTATCTCATCTGAATCAATGTCTTCGCTCATGTGAGCATATTTCTTCCACCTTGCCCCCAGTGTGGAGGGTGATCCTTGGTTAGGGTTGAATCAGAAGAAAAATACTACAGGCTCAAAAGGGGACATAAGGGATATATTTTTTCTCCTGTTGTGAAGGGATAAAGAAAGAAAGCCGTTCATCATTTCATACATGTAAATCTTCACAGAAGAGGTATCCCCAGGGGGATAGATTTTCAAGATTAATTCTATTCACATGAAAACAGTGTAATTAATGTATGATATAATTATTTTGAATGAATTCTTCTTCTTTTTTCCCCAGATGTCTCAATGTTCAGGCTCCCCGCGAGATACCCCAAATTGTGTCTTAGAAGAGTGCTCATGTTCAAATGAACAACTCAATGCCTTGGGTTTTAATGGTATTAAAATGTCAATTTTGAGTCTAAAAGACAATGGTGTGACTTTATTTGACTCAAAGAGATGTATGGGTGTATCAAAAAGATAAAGGCAATGTTCAAAAATTTCAAAGGGAGGTAATGTCAAAATTTGGTTTTTTTGGTAATGACCATGAGTTATTTTGGGTAAAGAATCGAGATATTTTATCTTGGGGTTTGAGACAGGATAAGAAAGGTCTAATCTTGCCATATGTCAAAAATCTATAATTCTTGAAGAATTAAAAGAATCCTTAATTCATTTAATATTTGAAGAACTAAAGATTAAAATTTGTTCAATCTCCACCTTAGAAAGTAGCATAAATTCAATCCTCTAAAAGATTAAGCAAACATGAAAGATCAAAGACATGTTCAAACAAAACAATGCTCTAAGTGTAACTGGTATATGCCATGCCCCCTTCTTCGACTGTCCATGCCCCTGAATCCATTCGGTTTTAGATCTTGCGCTTCGGCGCCTTATAGTTCTCAGAGGAATGTTTGGAGCATCCTATGTGGCAACTGCAAACAACTTCAACATCGTAGCCCTCAGGATATGTGGACTCTTTTCTCAGATCATCCTGGCAAGCTTAGTCATATAACCAACTGATCAAGCTCCCATTGTACTGATTTCATTTTTTTCTTCAATTGCTAAAATCTTGCTTCCCTGTGGTGTCATGTGGTTAAGACCACTTAATTGAATCCTCCGTGAAGAAATTTCATGTTTATAAAAATGCTTAAAATGAATGTAGATGCAAAATGCAAAAATGCATGAGATGTTCGAGGCATTGATCCGAAAATATGTCTGTTATTATAAATAATCTTTATTGGGACAAAAGTGTTTTATCTTTTAAGAGACAATAAACATATTTAAAGGTACATCCAGACTAAATCATCTAAACCCCGAAACAAGTTGACTAGTCTTCTGTCTTTGTGTGTCACCGGTCGAATACCTTACCGAACCACTCCGGCTTCTCTGGCTTTCATCCTTTGCTGAATCGGAAACTCCATTGAAATCCTCCATCAAAGGGATTATCCTAAGTTCATTTGCTTGTTTCTTGAATTTGTCGACAATGACTTCCAATTCAGCTATCGTTTTGCCATCTTGTTTTTGTCATCTTTGAATGGATTCTCGAGGTTAGTAACCTTTTTTCTCGTCTTGCCCCTTCCACCTTTGTCAACCCATTTTGAAAAGTTAACTTTTGATGTATTTGATATGGCGTCATGTCTTCTTGATCGAATGTGACACATAGTTGTCTTGCAGATTGTCCTCATTTTCTTTCTGAGTCTTTTTTGACCATAACCGGACCCCTGCGTTTTTCACCTCTTGTATTACAACCTCTTTGTCCATTAATGCGAATTATTTATGTTTTAACAAACACGTTTTTTGGTGGATCAATACCTCTTTTAAATGATGCAAATGATGAAAACAAAATAAAAGAGAACCAAACAAAAAAAATAAAATAAAAGAGTTAGTAAAACAATAATAAAATGAAAGATCTTACCCCACATGATATCTACCCGAACATGCTTAATATTCATACCCGAACATGATTTCTATCCCGTATGCTAACTTCAAACAAATCCTAACCGCATATTTGTCTAGTTCGTATGCTTTGAACAGAAAATAAAGCAGGAAACAAAATAGCCTAGGGTTTGGAATGAGGTTTTGGGGTGGGCTCTAATTCCCTGTACTTTCCCGGTTTAGGTTCTAAAAAAGGTACTCGAGTTCTCCTTGTCGGTGCCCCCTTGGGCTTACCAGACCCTTAGTCCTAAGCCCATCACAGGCTTGTGTGAACTAAGTTAAACTCGAGAGGACACATTCCCTTATGTCCGCATGGTGAATAAATCCACACGAAGACATAAGGTATATGAATCCCGAAGGCTACTTGCTAGCCCCGCACGGTGAATAAATTCACACGAAGGCGTCGCTTTCACCCCACTTAAATAGGGTTTAGAGCTCGGGTATAGAGCCTGAGATGAAAACTTTGAAAAATCTGAAATCATTAAAAAATGTTAGTACAACTATTTATTTGAAAAATAATCAAAGGTAAATAACTGGAATCGAATAAATAAATTTAAAATTAAAATTTACCATTTTCGCATAAAAAGACAACCGAAAATTAATTTCGGCCTGACTCACTTACCTTTCCCCAGTGGAGTCGCCAAGCTGTCGGAACCGTCTTTCGGTTGGGCCCCGGAATTAGGCTTCGACTTGAAAAATGTGGATTGGAGTCGCCACCGACCACTTTAAAACAAATTTAGGTGGGTCGGACACCATCTTACCTGATCTGCGTTGTACCAGAAACGTGTCGGGTTCGGGAGTCGGTTACGGCCAAAGAAGGATTAGCACCCTTGAACCGCCCTTTCGGTACCAATTAATTTGCCGGTTGTCTTAGTTGCGAAAATTTAAATTAGAATTAAAATACTCGATTCAAATCATTTACCTTTAACTAGTTAAAATTGTCCTAAAAAGAAAGTAAAAAATGTTAGATAAAACAATACTAAATAAATTAAAGAGAAAAATAAATAAATTAAGAGAACAAATGTTAAAAGTGTGTAATATAATATACACTTAATAAATACTCAAATGCATGGCCATAAATGGCTGCACATCTCCACGTGCATTTTAAAAACTTACTCCCCCATGTCAGTCTGATGCAATCGTTAATAATTCCACGCTGAGAAGGATAACCATCACTTGCTCCATAACCTCGATATGAAAGCATGAAGACATTACATTGTAACCTCTGTAGCATTATACGAACCATTTCTAGACGGTGAGCAATGTTTCCAGCATTCTCTTAAAGAAAAAAATAGGATGGTTGGACCTCGGCAATCAGGAAAGAGCTTGATGAACCAAGAATGGAGTTTGATTCCGTCGGAGGACCGGAGCCAAACGTCCTCGTAGGTGAGCCGGAGTCGGGCTGACGTTATCGGGCAAGACTTGGTTAGACCAGGCAAAACCGTAACGTAAACGATCTTCTCTTGAAACGCCACCAGCAACGCCATCTCAGATCTTTATTATTTAGTATGTGTTTTCTTGTTTTCATCTTCTGATCCATAATCAACTTGTTTGTCGGATTTGGAATCAAAGGTCTCATCTTGCTGAACTGTAGCAGATCTTTGTTTATCTTGAAATCAACTTGTCCTGAGGTGTTTTCTTGTTGCACGCAATACCTCAAGTAAATCGATCATAACACATACAAATAATTGAACTTTTCTTAAAAGAGAGATTAAGCTCTGCAATCTTTGGATTATGAACATCACATATAGACCGGTGTTCGGTGCACAACCTTGTGATTAGCATGGATCCATAACAGTAAGCTAGTTAAGATAATGAACTATTAATATTTCCCTTGTACAACATCAAATTAATGCCAAGTTCAGAGAGGATTTCGTGATATATACACATAGAGAAACCATAACCAATAGACAGAGTAATTGTATGAATTGAAAGAGAGAACAATTAAACACGAAAAAAATTGAACTTTACAATTGAGGAAAATGCAAGGGTGGAACTTGGGATAATCATCATCTTGGTCAACATCACATTCATAGATATAATAAGGGAGTGTTCCATCTGAAGAAGGCTTGCATTTTCCCTTTCCACATCCCACTTCTTTGCATACATCATCTGCAACAAGAACAAATACCCAGGTTAACAGAACACCCAAAGATCCCAAAACAAATCAACCAACAACGAAAGATGAAGAAAAGAGAAAGTGAAAAAGCCAAGATGTGTTCCGAAAGAGGGGATAAAAATTCGGTTTTTAGCAATGTTGAGGTGTCGAGCCCCCATTTTCCATTTCGTTCTCCCGTGCTTTCCTCTCCGATTTCGTCGAATGAATCCGGTATGAAACCCCTGATCCTTTTTCTTTCCTTTTCTTCTCTCTTGCTTGCCTTTAAATAGCCTAGTGATTGGTTATTTTTAGAGACGTTTTAGTGTCCCACTTGGACTCAAATGCCTCAGTTTTTAGTGTTTTAATAGGACTCAAATACATTGGTTTGTTTTTTGAATCCCACTGGAATCGGGGTTGTTGAATTGTGATGATTTCATGTGGGGCCTGTAAAAATAATAAAAACAATAAATAAATAAATAATATAACACATAATATATATATATATATATATATATATTATATATATATTAAATATTATAATGGATGAAATTTGGTGTCTACACAAATTACATAATAAAGTTTTATTTTTCTATCCTAGTGAGAGTATATACCTAGGGAGACATCTTGTTATGTAATAATCATGTACGATTATTAAGTTAATGTGATGTTTTATTTCTTGAATTTTGTCTCAAGTATTTAATTGTTATTTGATTTTTCCCGTTCGATACGTAAACTTAATTTAATTATTTAGTTGGTATATAAATTTATCTTAATATTTTTTAGATCTATTTACTACTTGAATTTTTTAAATTTATTCAGCACCGAAATTTAAACAATTATTATTATGATTTTTTTATTTAAAAATATATTTAGCGTGAAAATATTAAGTATTAATAACTGAATTACGATTGTAAAATTGAAAAATAAAAAATATATTTTTACTTATCAAATACAATAACTAATATCGAACTTTGATAAAGTAAATGACTGATGGCATATTTCGACTCTTAATTTCACCATCTAGAGCCTATACAAACAAATGCATGGCTTCCGAAGCAGAAGAATTGGTCTGCTATGCCGGGCAATATCCAGTGGCTAGTGACATTATATTGCTAACATTCTAAAAGGTGAAAATAGACCCTAAAGAGTCGGTTTATTTAGTTAAAAAAGAAAAAGAAATCATAAAGGCACAAACAACTACGAATCAATTTATACTAAAATATATTACTTGAAATGGAATTTAATCATATGAGGTGACAGCAAGTGCTACCCGAAGATCATTTGAGGTTCCACATGTATACATCCGATATGTTTCTATTTCGTGTTCATAATCCCTGGGACTGCTGCTTGTGTATTGATTGCCACTGGAGTTATCGGACATTGTAAAGATGATCTCCCTCATGATCGGTTCATGGCCATTAAGATGATTGCCCATGCTTAGAACCTTTCTCCACGACTGATTAGCGGTGGGCGGCGTGAACATATTCGACACAACTTGTCTCTCATCCTGCCTTAGTTGCAACTTCATGTCAAATTCCTATGCCACAGAAATGTTTGAGGAGAAATTATAGTCAGACAATAGCTGGGAAATTTCTAGGAAAAGGATAGGCAAACTTTTCATTAGAAAAAAATCTAGGTGGGTTTTCAAATTCAAGATCAAACAAGACGTAGTAAAAAACTGCTGAACATTTGCGACTTTTTCGTTTTGATTTTATTCAGAAGCATAAAACTAAAATCAAATGGCCTTCCTAAAGAAATAGTCCACTGAAAATATATCCATCTAGAACAGTGATTTGGTAATACCATGAAAACAGAGGGTTTAATCAGTTAGAATGCTAAAACTGAGGAGATTCACGGCACAGAGGCTATATTTACCTTCTCAGTAAATACATCCACAGAGCCTGTTTCCATGGTTGGAAAGTAAAAGTAGTAGAAGTCACTGAAAATGGCATGTACGATACGTGGTTCTTGTCTAAATTTACGATGAAGAGAAGCAGCAAGTGTTAACAACTTCTCGACATGTTCAAAGACGACACAAAGCCGACGGACGTCTTCAAAAGTCTTACTGACATTAGATGATAGGTTCACTGCAACATACGAGAGTTTGAAATTTAAATGACCTCAATTTCAAAGTGGAAACTTCTAAGAATGATGGACAATACCTTGCAAAGACCTTAACGTAGATGCCATAGTCAGGTAGAGTTGGTCCATTTCCATGTTCATCTTCTTCAAGCTTCCAAAATTTGTCTGGCTCAGAGTGTCAGCTGATGCTCTGAAGGCAGTACAAACCATTTGCTCAAGCAGCTGATGTGGTCGCACAGTTTCCAGGTAATGAAGGATCTATGGAGTTTACGAAGCCAAAAGGGTCAAACTTTATGCATCATAGAAATATTGAAAAACAGTAATATCCAAATTACAGTATTTTTAGCGAAGTTTTACGTCCGAACTTAGTTTATATAGTACAATCAAGTATATATGAAATCACTTAAGAAATATCCAAGCAAATGATGCCCTGGTACTAAATCCATAAAATTTTAAAACAGCTCTTCATCAGCTCCAAATGACATCGTTGCAGCAGGAATTTTGCAGTTGGACAGCACTATCTGTGGACATCACAGTTGGCTGTGTTTTGCCTGTAAATTAATTCAATTGGAAACTAACAGAAGCATTCGCCTCTTGAAACAATATCATCACATGAGGAAATAAGCAGTTTGCAATATTCAAGGGAAAAAAGAGAGGTTAAAAACAAATTGCAAAATAAGTACAAATTGTGGAATTTGAATAATAACGATAAGCCCTTAGAGGCTTTACCTCTATAGGCAAAAGATAGAGCGAGGTATTGTAAAATCAATGGAGAAACCTTTTCTGCTACATGCAGAAATCAAAATGTCAAAAGATGTTCATTCGTCCATGTCCAAACTAACCTTCTCTCCTTCTCGGTTTGGATCCAGCAGTGGTTTCTGCTCAAAAGCTGGCAAAATGGGAGCGTCATCCCAAATCTTTCTCCAAAAGTTACCATGTTCAGACATCCGTTGTGAAAGTCGTCCTCGAGGAGGCCATTCATCCGTCACACCCTCTAGATTTGTGGATGGACCATTTGCCTCACTTTCATTATTCTCCCAATCTCCAGGTGAATACCACCGGATAAAATCTTCGAAAACCGCATCAGGATTTGCAGCTTTAAAAGCTGACATGTCTTTCACAATATGAAGAATTGTCATAAGATATTTAACAAACATGGAGCAGACAACGTTAAGGATGTATTGGAAACTTAAGCATCAAACTTTTGAGAGAAAGCTGAAATAAAGTCCAAAGAGAATCAAGAAACCATTTAACATCTAATGTATATAAGCCTGAACATGGTTGTCTCAACCCTATTTGCCTTTAGCTTCATTGGGAGGGAAATTGAAGAATCAGTCTCTTAGTTCCACTCAGACATCAAACTCAGCAATTGATTAATCTGATCAGATTCAATGACTTACAAAACTGATGAACTGAGACTAAAAGTTCCACGTGAAAATAGAAACAAACCAATCGACCCTCAAGTGATTTCAAAAAGAAGGGTGAGATGGTCTTTGTAATCAATCAGCCTTATCAGAACTATATATTAAGACATAATTCAAGATGATTCTGCATTTAAACATAACTATTTGTGCCAACTATTCAACACTTCCTTCAACAGTTTAACTCCATGTCAAAAGGCTTTATTGATGTTCAATTTCCCAATGAAACATCATATGAAATGGATTTAGTGATATCTTGAAACCACATCCGCCACTGGTAATATTTAGTGACTTACAGTAGAACATGAAAAAATAGACATCAAAGAGGAAGAGCGTTGAACCATACTTATTACCTGAAGATAACGTCTCTCTCTCCAACCGTGCAGAAAAGTTCTGTATCAAATAGTAAACAACCATCTGAGCCACTAAATGATGAAGTCGTTCATTACAACATGAAACAAAACAAATCCTATCCATCATTATAAATGAAACATGGAAAGGATAATGTACAAAGGTAAACATTTATCAAACTGAGACAAGGATAGCAAATAAAATTAATGATTTCAATAGCCCCATAAAAGTGAACAATCAACTTAATTTGCTAGATGAAGTGTTGTAGAAGAAAGCCAACTTGTAGATTTTAAATACCATATTCAGTACAACAGCGTAAACTGAAGGAAGTTGCTAGTATCAATTTTGAGACACTTGATATTAAAGCTATACACATTATTGCAATCATTAGGGCACATAGAATCTTATTTGGCTTCAGAGATAGTTTGGAAAGACGCTTGAGGGAGCAAAAGACACAAAATGTCCTTACCAAAAGGTAAAAACCAGTTTAGACGCTGAACCTGGTACTTTGTCAAGCAAAATATAAACATCTCCTTTCAGTTACTTTTGAGAAGGTGTTTTGTGGTCATTACACAACACTATGTCTTAAAAACATTAAGAAGGGCTAAAATAATGGCTACCCTGACTAATCCCAATTTCAAAACATAGACTCCAAGGTGATATGATTAAGATCCGATGTAAAAAAAAAGTTTAACAAACTGACACTCATAGAAAAACAACACGTAGGAGCTTTAGGCTTACAAATGAATCACCAAAGGCCTCAACAGCATGAAGTCGTTCTTCATGCATGTCTTCTGTCATGAGTGGTGCACTCTACAACAATTCAAAGGAAAAGACAACTGCTATGTTCAGCTTATGTATAGGATATTACTTACTGGGAAAATAAAAAAATTAAAAAAAATCAATAATGCAGAGATATAAGAGAAACCTGTGTTAATGGAGCATGCAAACTCTGACACAATTTCAGAAGCTTCATAGACCCCACAGGACCAGATGATCCTCTTCTAATAGAATTTGAACAGGTTTTATCAGCAGAATGCACATCTTGAGAATTTGCATTGAACTTTGATACAGCTGTTTTAGATACATTAAAATCTTCTGGAGTCGAGAGACTGCAAAAAGAAAAAAAAAGGTTCTCATCATATTTTTGTTATAATTCTAGTGCAAAGTGAAAATGCAACATATTTCAGACTTCATTCATGAATTGGTAAATTAGTCCTATAATCTCAATTTTGAATCGTTAGAAGACTAAAATAACTTACTAATTAACATTCCGATTTAGGCTCCACAGCTAAATTCTTACCATGCAATCAGCCCAGCTTACATATCTGCTGGAAGAAACATAGCTGGCAAAGTCGAACTAAAGTATAACCAGCTTCTCACACATCAATTATGCAAAAAGGACCACTTAGTCACTCAACAAGGTGCATAGATTCGTTGTTGATATCATATTTACTAGCTCACTCATTCTTTCCATTGCAATTTTCAGCACAACAAAGCCAACTATGTCATAATTATGTAACCTGCGACTGTCAATGACAGTAACACTTTTTCTTATTCTATCACCTAAACTTTAAAGCATGTTTTCCTATGGTTTATAAGCAACGGGTGTCTCACTCTTAAATATCTCTATGAGCAGAGAATCACTGCACTTTACTGGGTGCCATCATAAGGATAATCTAAAATGGATCTACTAGAGGCAAAAAAGAATTAATCTCTCTGAAAAAGTCAGTAAGAACATCAATTTTTTATGAAGGAACCAAAGAACTCTTGCTTCCTTAGCTCACCTGTCACGTTTCCCATCAATGGCTTGACTTTTGGCATGAAAACTAGAAGACCCCTCCCCAACTTTAATGTCTTCCTGCATTTTCAGTCAAATGAAGACTTCAAGCCAGAAACAAGATAAAGAACCAAGTCCATAAGGGAACAAGTTCAATAGATCTCGTAAGAAAGCGAGTGTTGAAAGCAGGAGAAAATTAGGGCTAAGCCCCTTTTTCATGCCTTCCACCTCGCCTTGCTCACTATCAGATAACTAAAGGCACGGACAGCAGAAAGAAACAAGACATGAAAAAAGGTGGTGATGACCTCCATATTTGCAGATGCATTGCTCTTACTTCCAGCACCGTTTTCAAGCTCCTCATTTTGTTCACGCTTCTTCTGAATACATATTGCAAGCTGACCAGAAAAAGGATAAATAATCATTTGGCCATCATATTGGTTTAATTAAAAAGAAATGTTGAAAACATTAAAAAACAACTGATTGCTGAAATAACATAAGGTGCTTCAGGAACAAGTGCCTATCAGAACGAAAAAAGAAAGCACAAGTGGATAAGGAATATACAAGTTCTCGACAACAAAATGCAATCAAGGTTATTTACTGTATGCTATGAATGAAGCAGAAACACTCATTGCAGGGGAGTTTCCGGGTGCTGGACGTGGCTCTGACACAATGGAATATGCACACAGGTGAGGACATGTAAAAATAGTCTAGACATGTTTCGACACGCAATGTACTTTTTTGTTTCTTCTTTGCCATCTTTTTCTCCGATATGGAATCCGCAATGACCAAAAGCCTATATCCTAAGGAAGTCAAATGCTTGAAAACCATAATGTAAAAGAAGAAAATAGATAGAGAAACAGCAAGAATGAAGGGCTAAATGCAGGAAAGAGTGGGAGTAGAAAGAAAAGTATCAATGTAAATATGTTACGGGGACAGAGAAAGAGGGGGAAAGTAAACAGACGGGAAAAAAAGAGACAAGTATGAGCTTAACTATCTTGTTGCATTATTTAGAATATGATGATTTAGGGCCTTCTGGCCTTGGAGTTTGAAATATTTGGTCCTAATGGGAATTTTAGGTTCAAGCTTTTGATTCAAAACTGATCTAAAAAAATTTAGAAGCTCATGTTAATGTTCTAATGACTGCTTAGTCTGTAGATCTAAGTTAAGACTGCAGTATGGATCCGTAAATAAAATGACAGTTTGCCCTCAGTCGAAGTAACTAAGGCTCTCAAGATCAAGAAAAAAACATTTTAAGACAAACCATGTTAGAGCTCAAGGGATTTGAGCTAGAAAAGTAGCAGATTAGTTAGGTAGCAAAGATGATTCAGAAATTTGCCAAGGGTTCATGAAATAATTGCATAGCAAATACAGCTATAGTTTTATTCATATGGAGATCCCAAATTTGCTGCCTAGGATGAACAAGATTCAGTGGCAATGTCCTGGTTGTGGAACTCGATGCTGATAGAGCTCAATGATACTTGCATGTTTCTCGAGATTGCTAGAGAGATTTGGGAGGTTGTTCGGAAAACGTAATCTAAGGTCAACTATGCTGCTCAAATCTATGAGATTAAGACCAAAATCTCAACCATTAAAAACAAGGAACTAAAACTGTGACCAAGTATTTGAGTCTTGTGCAAGGATTACGGCAGGAGTTAGATCATTATCAAAACATCCAAATAAGTTGAAGCGATGATAGGACAACTCCAAAGCAGTTTGTGGTGAAAAACCGTGTCCATGAGTTTCTTGCAGTTTTGAATGTTAACTTTGATGTTGTACGATTGTAGATTTTGGGCAAAACAAAGCTTTCGTCCCTGAATGAAAAACCTTCTATTATACAAAAGGGCCATCGAGGTGTTATGCTTGAATCATGAGGAGATGGTTCTGTGTTTGTTACAAAACCCATTAAACTACCCCCTACATACATTCGAAGGGGCTCTATCCAATCATCAAACCATGATTCTTTGTTTTGCACATACCGTAAAAAACCATGTACACTAGGGAGAAATGCTAGAAACTTCATGGCAAGCCAGTTGACAAAACTGCTCAAGGTATAAGTGACTATAGTCAAGCGCATCTCTTAAGCTCTCTGTTGATTGATACAGAAAAGAAGTCCTCTCCTGCGTTTAATATTGAGAAACTGAGAAACTTGTTGATCTCTTGAAAAGTCCTCTTCGATAGGTACATATTCATTGATGTTTTCAGGTATTTCTTCTTTCTCTTATCCTATTGTCTCAAAAAGAGTATTTCCTCTCATATGGGTACTAGATTTTGAGGCCACCGATCACATGACTTTCTCACCTACACTCCAAGTAGTAGCCACTCAAGGATTACCATAGTCGATGAAACCATTACCACTATAACTGGCCAAGGGGACATTTATCTTTCTAAAGATCTTATGCTAAAAATGTTCTCCATGTTCCAAATCTCTTTACCAACCGTATCTCCATCCATAAATTAACCACCAATTTGAATTGCAGTGTAACATTTTTTCCTTTACATTGTATTTTTAAGGCAATGGACATGAAGAGGACAACTGAATGTGCTAGTCATAAAGATATTCTCTACTTCTTGGAACAAATCCACAGTTTATCAGATGATAATGTTCCCATATCTGTACATCATTTCTTTCTAAGACTGTTATGTCAAACCATAATAAAATACGACTTCAACATCATCGTGTAGGTTATCCATCTTTTAGAATAATTCAGATTATGTTTTTCTTCTTTATTTAAAGGTATTGCACTTGATAAACTTCAATGTATTGATTGTGAGTTGGCCAAACACAAATGTGTTCATTTTCCTATAAGCAATAAAAAAGCTCTTGTTCCTTTGACTCTTATTCATAGTGATATTTGGGGTCAATTTACCATTCCAAATGTTACTGAAGCTCGATGGTTTGTGTCTTTTATAGACTATTGTACACGTGTCACATAAATCTGATGTTAACAATATCTTCCTATAAACTCAATTCCATCTGGCTAGATTTTTATGGGGAGGAGGGGTAGAGGTCAAAAAAATTCACTGGGTTAATTGGTCGACAGTGTGATATGAAAAAAGGGTTGGTGGTCTTGGTGCTTTGGATCTTAGTTATATGAAAAGAGCTCTACTAGGGAAATGGACTTGGAGGTTTGCTAATGATAGGGAGTCAGTGTGGAAGAAGGTAATCTGCAGTAAATATAATTGGACCCTAGTTTATTGATGTTCAATGAAAAAATTCCTGCACATGCTTCTTGGATTTGGAAATCGGTAGTTCAAAATCATTTCAAAGAGGATCAGTATGGAGCTAAGTTTCGAAGTTTGTTTAAAGCTCGAGTGGGGAATGGTGGGAGCACCAGATTTTGGTTTGATAGCTGGGCTCTTGATTCCCCTCTTAAAGTAGCTTTCCCGAGATTGTTTGTTCTTTTGTTAAACAAGAATGGGAAGCTTAATGAGTTTGGGGAGTTTCGGTCTTCAGTTTGGTCTTGGCATATTCAAATGAGAAGGAATTTACGTGACTGGGAACTGGATCAATTTTTTGATTTAATGGCTATAATTCACAATATCACTCTTTCCCATGAGATGTCAGATGGTTTGGTCTGGAGAGGGAATGGGGAAGGAATTTATACTGTAAATTCGTGTGTGAAGTCATGTTGATAAAGAGTAAACAACATAGTGGAGAAGAAAATGAACTCTTTTTATTATATATTGTGAATGGTGAAAATACATCTTTTTATAGGAAAAGTTAGGAGTAAGTTTTCTATTAGAAGTAAACTACTTAGTAGTTATCTTTATCTATCTAACTTTCTAAGAGTTAATGTTATATTAAAATACTAACTTATCTATTGCATAACCTACACTCCCCCTCAAGTTGGGGAGTAAATGTTGAAAAGATTCAACTTGGATATAATCTCATCAAAGGTAATTCTTGGAAGTGCTTTGGTGAGAATATATGCTAACTGATTCTTCGTTGAAACATAATTGAGCTTCACCGTTCCACCATTCACCTTTTCATAGATGAATTGTCTGTCAATCTCCACATGCTTCGTTCGGTCATGATGAACTGGATTCTTTGCAATACTTATTGCAGATTTACTGTCACTTTGAAGTTCAAACCATTTGTTGGCACATAACCCCAGCTCAGTTAACATTCTTTGAAGCCAAATTCCTTCGCAAATTCCAAGTGCCATTGCTCTAAATTCTGCTTCTGCACTACTTCGAGACACCACCACCTGTTTTTTGCTTCTCCAAGTAACCAGATTTCCCCAAACAAATGAACAATAACCAGTTGTAGATCTTCTATCCGTTAATTCACCTGCCCAGCTTGAATCCGAAAAAATTCTTACTATTCTATCATCACTCTTTCTAAAAATTAATCCATGTCCTGGTGTCATTTTCAAGTATCTTAGAATTCTATTCACAACCTCTAAATGTTCTTCTCTTGGATCATTCATATATTGACTCACTATACTGACAGGGAACACAATATCAGGTCTAGTAAGTGATAAATAAATTAGTTTACCTACTAGCCTTTGATACTGTTCTTTGTTCACAGGATTTCCCAATTCTTCTCTCCTTAGCTTCAGATTTGCTTCCATGGGTGTTTCAACCGGCTTACATCCCTTCATTTCAGTTTCTGAAAGTAGATCAAGGATATATTTCCTTTGGTTGATCACTATTCCTTCTTTTGACCTTGCAACCTCCATGCCTAAAAAATACCGTAAAGTTCCCAAGTCTTTGGTTTCGAACTCCTTCGCCAGTAGCTTTTTCAATCTTTCTATCTCCATACAATCATCACCTGTTAGAATGATATCATCCACATAGACAATCAAAATTGCCTTTTTGTTGTTTGAAGATGTTTTGACAAATAAAGTATGATCTGATTGACATTGCTTGTAACCATCCTGAATAATCACCTTTGTAAATCTGTCAAACCAGGCTCTTGGAGATTGCTTAAGTCCATACAAGGACTTTAGTAATCTACATGCTTTTCCTGTATTACTCTTCACACCCGGTGGAATTCGCATATATACTTCCTCCTCCATGTTTCCGTTTAGAAATGCGTTTTTGATTTCTAACTGATGAAGCACCCAATTCTCATTAATTGCTAATGACAGTAACACTCTCACAGTGTTTAGTTTTGCTACCGGAGCAAACGTTTCATGATAATCAACTCCAAAAGATTGAGTGAATCCTTTCGCCACTAATCTCGCCTTATATCTTTCAATGCTACCATCAGCTTTGTATTTTACCGTGAATACCAATTTGCAGCCGACTGGTTTTTTATCTTTCGCAAGATCAACTATAATCCAAGTATTGTTGTTTTCCAGTGCTTTTAATTCCTCTTCTACTGCCTTTTTCCACTTGGGATCTTTCAATGCTTCTTCCACCATATCTGGAACAGTAATGCTATCTACACTTGCTGTAAGGTTCTTAAAACAAGGCGTTAGCTTTCCATATGCAACAAATCTCTCAATTGGATAATTTCTGCATTTTCTTACTCCTTTCCTTTGAGCAATCGACAAGTCATTATCATCAATTAAAGCATTTAATTCAGTGGAAGAACTCTGATTACCTTCTTCATTCTCCAAAGGATTCTCGTTCGGTTCCGGTTCATGACAGTGTCCATGCTGTGTGGGAGACTTGGGATTAGGTTCAGGGATTGATTTAGAAATTGGTTTTTGTTGTCTCTTGTAAATCTGCAACTCGGATTGAGGTATTTGAGGCGAAGTGATATGTTGATCATGCCGAGGTAAATATGTTTCGATGGACTGGTTTGGCAAGGATACGTTTTCTGGGTTCGGTAGTGTTGTTTGGTTTGGCTGTAGCGATTTTGTAGGCTTATTCGACTGGTTTAACTGGTTTGACGGTGTTGGTTGATCAAAAAGAGCTAGCTGCAAATCAAGTGACAATTGTTGTGAGTCAATAAACTGATATTCATTATATGACTCCCCTTGAATAGCAGTTTTAAGGAAAAAATGTGTTATTTCAAAGAAAGTAACGTCCATAGTAATAAAGAATTTCTTTGTACGAGGATAATAACACCGAAAGCCCTTTTGAGTCGATGAATAACCCAGAAACACACACCGAAATGCTCGAGGATCTAATTTGGACCTGAAAGGAATATTGTTATGAACGAACACAGTACAACCAAAAACTCTAAGGGGTAATAATGAAGTCATCGGTTTAAAATTGGGGAAAAACTGAAGAAAAACATCTCTCGGACACTTAAATTGTAACGGTTTACTAGGGAGACGGTTAATCAAATAAGTGGCAGTTAAAAGGCTTCCCCCAAAAATAGTTAGGAACATTTGTGGAAAAAAGTAGAGAACGAGTAACTCAAGAAGATGCCTGTTTTTTCGCTCAACAATCCCATTTTGTTGAGGAGAATTGATACACGAAGTAAGATGAATAATCCCGGTTTCCTGAAAGAAAGAATCCAAAACATTGACAAAATACTCACTACCATTGTCAGAATGAAACATTTGGATTGAACACTGAAATTGGGTTTCAACCATCTTATGGAACCGTTTAAATATTTCACAAGATTCAGATTTAGTTTTCATGAGAAAGGTCCAGGTAGTACGAGTGTGATCATCAATAAATGAAATAAACCACCGAAACCCATGTAAAGATGCGACCCGAGATGGTCCCCAAATATCACTATGGATCATGGTAAATGGTTTGGACGGTTTATATGAAGGTAGATAAACACTCCTAGTTTGTTTAGCAAGTAGACAAATATCATAAGAAAAAGATTTTGGACTCTTATTGACAAACAAATGTGGAAACAATTTTGCAAGATAAAAGAAACTGGGATGTCCTAAACGAAAATGCAATAACATAACATCGGTTGAAGGTTCAAGTAAAGGAAATTGTTGTATAAAATGGTAGGAAGTAGATGGGTGGGAAAATAAAGTTGCTGGAAGTAGGTAAAGACCCCCACAAAGCCTAGCACTGCCAATCACTTTCCCCGAGCTAGAATCCTGAAATTCACAAAAATCAGAGTTAAATTTCGTGATACAGCATAAATCGGCAGACAACTTGCTAATAGAGATAAGATTGCAAGTAAGATTGGGAACATAAAGAACATGAGATAACAAAATGTCCTGATTTATTCGAATAGACCCATGATCGGCAACACCGGATAGAGAACCATCAGTTGTTCGAATATGAGAGATAGACGAGTCGGCATGAAAAGTATGAGAGCTGAAGATCACCTGTCGTATGATCACTTGCACCAGAATCCACAACCCAAGTAGGAGTGGTGGATGTATTAGCCAAAGTAGCAGAAGGAATTCTACCTACAGGTACTGATTGGGAATGAGTGTTTAACTGACTAAAAAACTGTTGCAACTCTTCCATTTGTTTTTTAGTAAACGAACTTCCTTGTAAATCAGTATTCACAACACAGTTTTCTTGAGTATTACGTTGTTGATGTTGTTTTGAAGACTTCCCATCAGTAGGCTTGCCATGTAATTTCCAACAGGAATCCCGCGGATGGCCAACCTTCTTACAATAGTCACACCAAGGTCTCCCCTTCTTTGGCCGAGTAGTAGTTTGAGAGTGAGGGATATAATTGTCACCATTCAATCGGTGACAGGTGATAGAGGCTGAAGAAACATCAGAATGAGGTGAATTAATGAGGATTTCCAAAGTGACCTTCGATGAAGAAGTGGTGGAATTCATGATCGACGACTAGATTTAGGGTAAAAAAAGAAAAAGAAAAAAATCGGCTAGATTTAGGTGAAGGATCGGTCACCTAACTGATATCATGTTGATAAAGAGTAAACAACATAGTGGAGAAGAAAAGTAACTCTTTTTATTATATATTGTGAATGGTGAAAATACATCTTTTTATAGGAAAAGTTAGGAGTAAGTTTTCTATTAGAAGTAAACTACTTAGTAGTTATCTTTATCTATCTAACTTTCTAAGAGTTAGTGTTATATTAAAATACTAACTTATCTATTGCATAACCTACAAGTCATGCTGTTCAGTTTTGACAGCAAACTCCTTTTGGATGAAACACATTTGGAAGGGATTGGTGCCCCATAGAGTGGAGGTCTTCATGTGGCAGGTGGTGCAGCAAAGATTGCCAGTAAAACTAAAATTACAAAAGAGAGGAGTTTCAGCTATTGTAGATGTTGCTTGTCCTTTATGTAAAAAGGTAGTTGAATCCTCATCACATTTATTTTTTACTTGCTCTGTGGCGTGGTCCCCATGGAATAAATTTTTGAGATTTTGTTCAGTTTTTCAAGCCAATGCTAAAAGTTTTATGTTAGCTTGGGAAGACATGGTGCCTAATTCGAAAATTTGGTCATTCATTCCGGGAGTGGTTTTATGGACAATTTGGAAATGTAGGAATGCCATTGTGTTCGATGGGGGGAGGTTAGATCAGATTGATCTTTTTTTAATGGCAAGATGTAGGTTGGATGCTTGGTTCTTAGCTTTCTATAAGGATGTCACTATTCTGAAGGACTCTCTCATTTGTGATCCATCACTTGGGGATTGTTGCTCTAACTCGAGGTCTTCAATTTGAGTCCTGGTCTCGCCCTCCAAAGGACTATTTAAAACTGAATGTGGATGCAGCTGTTACTGCAGATTAGAGGAAAAGTGGTGTTGGGGGCATTCTAAGAGTTGAGGATGGCTCGGTGGTGGGTTCTTTCCAAGAGGCTGCTGGTCCAGGTCCTCCTATTTTGATAGAGCTTATGGCAATTAAAAAGGGTTTAACTCTCTTTGCTTTGATTTAGCAGCGGTTTAAGGAACGTTTAATTGTTGAATCTGACAGTAAACTAGCAGTGGATTGGGTCAAGAACAATGATCGTTGTTCCTATGTCTACGTAGACTTTGTGAAAGACATTGTTACTAAGTTAAGAGGTTTGAAGGGTATTATTAGATGGGTTGCTAGGTCAGCCAATGTTGAGGCTGACAACTTAGCTAAGGCTGGTATTGCTAGTTTCACTGTTTTGGTTAGGTTATCGTTTAGGCTTTGGGTTGGTTATTGTAAAGGGAGCTTGTATGTTTGTTTCTTAAGAATTATGTAACTTTCGGGTATTAATGAATTATAAAACACTCTTTTCCTCCTTCCGCTGATTAAGGAGCACCTTGTGATCCATTAATCATGAAGGGGGCTTTTAATGAGGCCTACCATTCCTATAAAAAAACAATATCTTTCCTAATTTTTTTAACATGATTCATACACAATTTGCTGTGAAATACAAAAGATTTTTCTAATCAAGTTCTTTCAACCTTTTTCAAGATAAAGGAATTATTCATGAATTCTCATGCGTGATCACTCCACAATAAAATGGTTGGGGCATTCTAAGAGTTGAGGATGGCTCGGTGGTGGGTTCTTTCCAAGAGGCTGCTAGTCCAGGTCCTCCTATTTTG